ACTGCCAACTCCTTGATTTCCTCCTGTCCCCACAAACTGTTTGGCTCTTCCTTCAGTTCCCAGAGAGATTTCCCTTCTTGCCTCTGTCCTCAGAATATCTTCCACTTCTCTCTTCATTCCCCTTAGCTTATGAAAAGGTTCAAATCTCTATTCCTTAAGAAAATAAACCTTATCTTCATACATCCCCCTAGATCACACTGTTTCTCTTCCCCTTTAAAACCAAGCTCATAACACGTCTTTACCATATGCTATAATCACTGGCTTCTTATCTATCTCCCTCTCTTGCCAAGATTGAAAGTGCGCTTAGCAGGAAGACCACGTTTTCTTCATCTCTGTGTCAGTTTCCAGCATGGAACCTGCTGCAGAGCAGGTGCTCAGTAAGGGTTGTGTTGAAGGGCCCATGGATGCACCAAGGGATTTTATTGAGCGTTCTTCGTTGCAACTAAGCGCATCTGTTTGAGGTAGACTGTATGAATGAATGAATGAATGAATTAATTAATTAAAACCTAACCTCACCAAGGCTCAGAAGTTTCAAGTGATTTGCTTCATCTCATTTAGCAAAAAGAACCAGTCCTCAAATCTAGGTTTCTAGGACTTTTCTATCTACATCCTTCACACCCCACATGTGAGTCAGCGCTGGACAGGTTTCAAGACTTAATCTCAGTAGTGATGCTTAGTTAGCATTTACCAAATACTTATTACATGCCAGACATGATTCCAAGTGTTTTCCATATAGTATCTTTTTTCTTTTTCTTTTTTTTTTGAGAGAGGTTTTTGCTATAGGGCACATGCGCTCGCCAGAAAGACAGAGAGAGACAGAGAGACAGAAAGCGAGAAATCACCCCCTGGAGGGATGGCCACACCGCAATTCCTTCTCCTCTATTCTCCTCTCAGGATCTTGGGCACGCACGCAAATGTACCCAGCATGAGTTTAAGCCACAGGGTCTGGGACTTGAACCATGGTAAACTATATGGTAGTCCAGTGACATAGCCATTACTCCAACTGCTAGTCCCCGTATAGTATCTTTTTAATACTACAACAATCCTAAGAGATGGAAACTACCTGGGTTAAAAATCTCATATCTCCTCACCTTGGCAGCCTGGAGTTGTCTCTGAATGGATTGCAGCCTGCTGTGGTTTGCTTTGTCTCTGAAGAAGTACGACCTGAGGTTAGTGCCCAGCTCCAAGGCACTGATTTGAGCTGAGGGAGAGGGTGGATAATTAGATCTGTGGCTCCAGGGAAGGAGCCTGAGCAGATTCCCAGAGGGAAGTCATTTCCAGGGACTCAAAGGAGGAAACAAAGAGAAACTGGAAAAACTTTTCTTTCTCTTAGGGAGGACCCCAGGGAGAGGGGCTAAGTGAAGGTGACAGTATACTAACATTTTCATCCCAAAAGTTCTTGGTATTTCTCACAGAGAAGTCACCTCTGTTAATGGATGTCCCCCATTTTTTTTTTTTTGAGAGAGATTTTTGCTATAGGTGTGTGCACTCTCTGGAGAGACAGAGAGAAAGCAAGAAATCACCACCTCCACCCCCAGGGGAATGGCCATGCCACCATCCCTTCTCCTCCATTCTCTCTGGATTTTGGGCATGCATGCACACCCATCTGGTGTGAGTTTCAAGCTGCTGGGCCCGGGATTTGAATTGCAGTCAGCCATGTGGGAGTCTAATGCCTTAAACACTATGCTACCTGCTGGCCCCAGATATCTCCCATTTTACAGATGAAGCATTTGAGACTCTGAGAAAGCCAAACAGGTTTTAGGTTAGGCTTGATCCTGGGGGCACTAACAGGCATAAAATAGGTTACCGCTGGCCAGGTGGAATGGGGCTCACCTGAGGGAAAGGGGCTCTTACATTTTGGCTGTTACATGAAATTTAGCAGTCACCTGAGAGCTGGAAAGTGAACTTGGTGACAGTAGGAGAACCCAGTTATCGAAACAGGGACCCGATTTAGGGCCAGTGTGTTAATACGTGTGCCCACAGAAGCTGGAACACCCATGTGTGCGCACCCATGCTGAAGGTGGTGAGGTGTTTACTGCCCCATTCTAGACTGGAGCTAGGGCGGAAGGTGAACACATGTGAACTCTACTGTGAAAAGCCGGCACCACAGGCAAGTGCTGGCTCCTCTATGGAGGCATCACCAATTTGTCCTCTAGAATTCTGAAATAATAGGAGTGAAAAAAACTCTTTTTCTGCCTTTTTGGGATGAATTGAGTAATTTTTATGATTCCATTTTCTTTCTTTTTCTTTTTTTTTGAAAGACATTTATTGCTATAGGGCATGTGCACTTGCCAGAAAGACAGAGACAGAAAGCGAGAAATCACCCCTCAGGGAGGATGGCCATGCCGCAATCCCTTCTCCTCCATTCTCCTCTTGGGATCTTGGACATGCACGCACACAGGCCCAGCATGAGTTTAAGCCACTGGGTCTGGGACTCGAACCGTGGTTGACTACATGGGAGTCCAGCAACATAGCCATTATGCTGGTCCCTCCATTTTATTTCCTAGTTGGCTTATTAGCTGTACTTTGTTGTGTTACTACAGGGTTTGTTGTATACATCTTTAACTTGCCATGTCCTATCTTCAAGTAATGCCATGTCACAAAGAGCACAAAAGGACTTCAAGAAGTTGGTAGAGGGGTTGGCAGGTGGTGTAGTGGTTGAGGACGCAGGACTCTCCCATTGCTGAACACAGTTTGAGTCCCGGACTGGGTGGCTTGCTTTCTCATTTTCCCTCTCTCTTACTCTGTCCCTCTCTGGTCAAATTCAAATAAATAAATAAAATAAAATAAAATAATTTTTTAATAAAAAAACTTTACAAAAAAAGTTGGTAGAAAAAATGGAATTAAAGTAAAAATTTGGTGCAAAAAAATTGAAATCCATGTATAATTTTTCATAACATGCATTTTCCCATGAACTTTTTGAATACTTCTCCCAACGAAGGTTCTTAGAGCAGGATAATTTAATTTCCTCTCTTCTAGTATTTGTGTTATAATTGTCATGTTTTATTTCTGAATTAATTATAAACCTCACAGTATGTTATAATCCTTTGGCTATAAACAATGTATTATATCCTAAAGAGATTTAGAAAAATAAGACCAAAATAATTAATATTATGTTGCAAAAGTCATTCACATTGTTTATATGGCTGCAGTTTATTTTATGGTTGGTAGCACTCCAAAGTATGGCTGTGGCATAGCTTATTTCCTTAGTTTATCCCCAAAGGACACTTGCATTATTTGTGGTTTTTCACAATGAGGAACAATGTCCCTACAAATATTCTTGTATGTATGTTTTTCTTCTCTTTAGGAAAGAGACAAGAAGAAAAAGAGGGAAATGGAGACAGAGCTAGGTTTTTGTTTTGTTTTGTTTTGTTTTTAAATCTTACCAAAGCATGCATGTGCTTGTCAGACAGAGACAGAGTGAGGGAGAGTGAGGAAGCACCCTCCCATGGGAAATGGTCTTGCAGCAATCCATTCTCCCCCATCTCTCCCTTCTTTTGGGATTCTGGCACACACACATATGTGCACCAGCATGTTTCTCAAGACTTTGGGTTTGGAACTTGAGCTGTGAGATCAGCTTTGTGGGATGCAGTTACCTCAACCACCACACCAGAGACTGGCCTGAGGTTGGTATTTTTAACAGGGTTTTGCTGTGTTGTGATCTTTCTGCCCCATCCTCCCAATAGCTAGGATTATAGACATGCATAACCTCCCCCAGCATATTCAGGTTGTCTTAGAAACTGAGCCCAGGCCTCCCATGTGGCTTCCAGCTTCCCAGCAGTGGCACTATCTGTGTGGTACTGCAGCTGGGTCCATCTCTTCTTCATCTGTCCCTCCTTTAGGGATGTTGGGCATGTTGCACATGCATCTGGAAAGTTTCTCAAGCTGCCAAGTTTGGGACTTCAAAAGTTCATGGAAAATAGAATTAAAATATGAGTTTCTTTGGTGCAAAAATTTTTGAAATTCGCACATAATTTTTTTCATAATATGTATTTTCAAAAGACCCTTTGTACATTATTTCTGAAATCTTGTATTTTAGTATCTTTCCTTTGTTTTTGCATTTTGCTTTATTATTGTTACTATTTTTATACTTTCATTTGCTCTATATCATTTAGCTTATAGAGAGAATTTACCCAACATGAAATACACCTCAGACCAGTCCTGTTGAGAATACTATACATGTTATCATCAACTCTTAGTAAACCATTTCTGTGCCCCACAAATGTCTTACTTCTCTATTTTTCTCCCTAATTTCCTGCCCTACACTCTTCCCCTCTCCTACCCTCCTTCCGCACTGTCTCCAGTATCTTTCTTTCCGGCCATCTTATTCCTGACTCCACCACCTCTATTTTTGTATCTCCTGCTGACTTCTAGTCTTTTCATCTTTCTTTAGTTCAGAACCCCCCCTGTCTTCTCTGCCCTTCTCACATTTGGATGTCAGTCAGCACAATGGATCTTTCTCCAGTGCTTTCTCTGTTTCTCCACCGTATCCTTCTGACAATGGAATGAAACGTGCCTGGACTTCTCAGGGTGCATAAAGAAACTACACAACCATGTAGTTTGCATCCTCTTCACTCTTCTTTTTACGTCTGAAGAGGAGGATCCCTCCCTCTTTCACAACTCAGTTCCTGCTTTGCTCTTGTTCCCATACACTGCCTTATTTCACAGATAATCCCTTAGATTTTCTCTCCCTCTGGCTCCCTGTTAGGCAGGTACTGTGTAAGTGTAATAAACATTTCAAGAATGAATGAATGAATGAATGAATGAAACTCACATGCAGAAGGAAGGGGATAAAACTTAGAATTTAGAGACAGAAGTTTACTTTGCAGCTGGTTTCTGTGCAATTCTGGGCGAGTGGCTATTTTTCGAAAAATGAATGTAAGCCTCAAAGATGAATGTGGATAGCCAAGTCAAGCTATAGCAGGGATGACTTGCTCACATAGTTACCTTAACCTTGCTAAACAGTGAGAGTGATTTTAGGACCCACATGTCCTAGAGAATCAGCCAGGAAGCTCCCTCTGTGAGGGCAGAGCCTGGGCCTTTTCAGTGGGGACCTGCAGCTGGGTCCTTACGAACAGAATGGCCAGGTGCTGCCTAATTTCCTTGGTTCTGGCCCCATAGATGATGGGGTTGACCAGACATGGGAGCAGCAGGTAGAAGGCACTGAGCAGGTTGTGCACGTCCTGGGAGGCAGTGCGGGCCACTCGGTAGACGATGGATGAGGACATGGTGGAGGAGTACACGGTGAAGATGACCAGCAGGTGGGAGCCGCACGTATTCAGGGCCTTAGACCGAGCCCCTCCTGATGAGATCCTGAAGGCAGCATGGATGATGCGGGAATAGGAGGCTGCTAGCAGGAGCATGTCCAGGACTCTGTTGAAGATACGCACGGTGAGTCCCACAGTCTTGTTCAGGGAAATGTCCCCACAGGAGAGTTTCATCAGGGCCATGTGTTCACAGGCAAAGTGATGGATGACATCTGAGCGGCAAAAGCGAACCCGGGAGGCCAGAAATACCACTGGGGCAACAATGCAAATGCTCCTGGCAGCTGCCACCACCACCAGGCCAGCCAGCAGCTGGCCTGTCACTATCTCTGAGTAGCGCAGTGGGTAGCAGATGGCGACATAGCGGTCCAGAGCCATGACTAGAATGATGTTACAGTCAAAGACAATGAGGAAGTAGATGCAGAACATCTGGACCAGGCAGCGAGCCAGGGAGATGCGGTTGAAGTGTGTGGAGAAGCTGAAGAACATGGCGGGCAGCACTGTGGTGGCGACACAGATGTTGACAGTCAGGAGCAGGGCGATGAGCAGGTACATGGGCTGGTGAAGGCTTCTCTGGGCCACCACTGTGTGGATGACCAGGGCATTGGCAGAGAGGATCACCAGGTAGAGGGTGAGGAAGGGCAGCACCAGAAGTGCACGGGCCTCCTGCAGCCCCGGGAAGCCCACCAGAAGGAAGCTGGTGTAGGACTCATTGGAGCTTCCATTGCTCCTTCCTGACATCTTCCCCTGGAGGTGCAGGACAGCTCTAGTGAGAGAAAAGGGGCAAGAGGCCTGAGTCCTGTTCAGCCCTTGCCAGCTTCAGCCTTCTCAGACTGGACTGGGTGCTCTGACCTCCATCAAATACAAGATTTCTACAGAGAAAAAGAAGAGTTTTTGTTACCATTTAGGGAGATGCTTCAAGAAATAACTACCTTGCATAGCACCAACTTATTTGTTTTTCTATAAAAATCCCTCATTGGAGCCAGCAGGTGGTGTGGTGGTTAAGGGCACAGGACTCCCACATGGCTGCCTGTGGTTCGAGTCCTTGACCTGGCGTCTTGCATTCTTTACTTTTTCTTTCTTTCTCTCATTTTGTCTCTCACTGATCAAATTTAAAAATAATAAGAACAAATAAAATATAATGAATAAATAATTATTAAAAAAATCTTTCATTTTGGGACCAGCAGATGGTCTAATGGTTACCATTCTGAATTTCCACGTAGTCGACTATAGTTCGAGTCTCAGACCTGGTGGCTTAAAATTCACGCTGGACGTGTTTGTGTGCATGCCTGAAATCCTGAGAGGAGAATGGAGGAGAAGGGATTGTGGCATGGCCAACCCCCCTGGGGGGTGATTTCTTGCTTTCTATCTCTCTGTCTCTCTCCGGTGAGCACATGTGCCCTATAGCAAAAATCTCTCTTAAATTTTTTTTAATCCTTCATTTTTTTCTTTTCACTAACCTTATTGAGGGCCTGTTTTGTGCTAGACTCGCCACTAGAAGCTTGGAACATACAATGAATAATTGTCTCTGTCTTGAATGACCTTATATTGTACTGAGCAAGACTGAAGTGACAGGAAGAAATAAAATGCAGTGAAAAGCAGGGGTTATAATGGGATCTTGTCTATTCTCCTTTCTTGTAGTATATCCAAAGCCACAAAACAAAACACAAAGCAAGTATCCTTTCTTCGTTCTAAACCTGAATGGAGGAAGACTTCCTAGGTGGGGTTCACAGAGGAGGTGGCTAAAAACTGTTGCTGCAACCCTTAGAGGGGTTGGCCACCTGGAGAGTATAAAGGGTGGAAGAGCCTGAGAGGGAAAGCCTTTGGACAAAGCTGATGTTTTCCTTTACCACATCTCATTGGGGCAGAGGTGGTACAGAAAAGGGAGTTTACTTCTCATCTTGAACTGGTAGAGGGGCTTTAAAAACACAGAGCTGGGAACCTAAATTGTCTAGCTATGCATATGATGTCCCAGTTTTTAATCAAAAATAGCATTGAATAGAATAATTTGTTCTTAGTAAATCTATGTGTGGTTGTCTAGAGATGACCTCTTTCGTTTGTTGACATTATTCACTAACTGTCTTTTCCAGGAGTTTGACAGGGATTGAGTTTGTGTTGCCACCACCCGCCTTCCTCTCCTTTTGGCGAATTAATATCCTTGCCAATTTCCATTATTTCTCCATGATTTCTTAAAGACTATTGGGAGAAAACCAGGAAAACATCTGCTAGTTCTTTCAATAACCAGGAATGTAATACCATAGGTGGATATTTTCTTATAATCTCTTTCCTATCTGGGTTTTATTTCCTTCTTAACTAGGTATATTCTGCCTCCCTGGTTTCAGAGTAGTTCATATAGTTTAAAAGATAGAATAAAAATGGGTGATGAGCAGTTTCTCTCTGTCACAGTACTGTTCAGTACTGTATCAACCAACTAAGCCCTACAGGACCCTGTGTCTTGGTTTTTTCCTTCCCTCTTCTTCCTTCTCCTCCCACTCCAACTTCTCCTCCTTTTGGGAAACAATCATCTGAAAACTTCATTCTCCCCAACCCTGACTGCACAATTGTCGCCCCTTCAGAAATAAGGACCTCTAATCTATAGATCTTTAAGGACCATTCCAGGCTGACCCCAAAGCATGAGAGAAGAGGCTGGAGTGAAGATCCTGGAACTGAGGCTAAGGAAGGCAGTCCTGGTTCAAGCTGTATACGTACAGGTATACAATTCAGGTTCATGGCTACGTATCTTTTTTGTTTGTTTTTTTGAGAGGTTTTTGCTACAGGGCACATGCGCTCGCCAGAAAGAGAGAGACAGAGAGACAGAAAGTGAGAAATCACCCCCCGGGGGGATGGCCACACTGCAATCCCTTCTCCTCCATTCTCCTCTTGGGATCTTGGGCACACATGCACACGCACCCGGCGTGAGTTTAATCCACCGGGTCTGGGACTCGAACCATGGTCGACTACATGGGAGTCTAGCAACATAGCCATTATGCTAACTGCTGGTCCCCACAGCTATGTATCTTTAAAACCCCTCTCACTAGACCAACATGGAGTCTGGGGAGGGACAAAGAAGGCAGGACCTGCTTATATCTCAAGGTATTTAGTGGGTAGAGAACCACAGAGGCAGGGAGAGGGGAGGGTGATTATCCCTGCTCTTCTTCCCACTGAGATCACAGGATCAGAGGACCAAAGCACCAGAGACCTACAGAATCTAAAAACCTTGTGTCATCTGAGTAGGGCTGTCCCTTAGGGGGACAGAGTCCTGCCCTCTAGCAGGAGTGTAATCCGTTTAAAGTACCCTGATCAGTGGATGCTTAGCCTCTGCTTTCCTCCCCTTCTTACTGGGAAGGGTGAAGGTTTCTTTGCAGCCATCCTATTTTGGGTCACCCATCCTCTTGAGAAACAGCCCATCTTCTCACAGGGTGGTCTGTCTTAGTATGGGACAAAACTCACTCTTAAGAAGCTCTGTGTTGAGCTATGCTCATTCTCTCTGAATATTCCCCACACTGTGCCTAGCTGTGCTCCCTGGAGCCACACAGAGCCTATCTTATCTACGAAACCTAGCCCTTCAGTGAAGGAGCTTTTACGGTCAAGTGCTTGGGTTGGGTACAAGGTGATCCTAAGAGGACAGGGTAGCAAGTGTGTTTTTTCTGTCTCCTCACCTCACAGGAAACAGCAGAGGGTGAGGGTGGTTCTGAAAAGGAAAAGAAGGGTTGGATCCTTGGGAACCAGACTGAGTAGAGAAGGACCTAAAGGTGAGACATGAAGGTAGCTCCTGGGGCGGTGGAGGAAGACAGACTTCGTTTTGAATTCTAGTTCTGCCACTTAATATGTGCAACTCTGGGCAAAAGACTTAGGCAATCCTTTTCTGTAAAATGGGAATTATATTATTGGCCTTATGGGATGACAGGGAGAATTAAATTGCTGAAAAGTGTAAAGCTGACAGATTGGTCCTTTGGCTGGTGGTTAAGGGAGCTGTACCACATGGCCAACCATGTAGTTTGAATCTTGGCTCCAGTGGCTTGAAAAACATGCTGAGCTCATGTGCATGCATGCCCCAAATCTTGACAGGATGGAGAAATGCAGGAGAAGGGATCGTGACATGACCATGCCCCATTGGGGGAGTGCTCTTCCCCTCTCCCTTTCTATCTGTCTCTCTTTCTCTATATGGCAAGTGCATGTGCCCTCTAGCTAGCAATGAAAAACAAAGCAACACTTGTAAAGCTGATGAATAGTTTAGGTGCCTTATCAAATTGGGAGACCCTTTTTCTCCAGTCTCCTTTTGGAAGGGAAAGGAAGTGGGCCAAGGGCATGGCCTCAAACCCTCGATGTGAGATGGGAGTTTGGGGGCAGAGGAAAGGCTCCTGCCTTGGTCAGTGTGCGTGGGAAACACACAGGGATCTCCCTTCATTCTACCCTTCAGTCTGTAGCCATGGATCTCAGACAGTCTCTGTTTCCATCATCCAGAAAAGGGAAGATTTAGTCTTAAATCTGTTCTGCACTCAAAGCAGAGTCCAGGAGGACATTAGTAGTGCTTCCCAGTGTGAGGAGAGCCCCTATCCTGATGGGATGGTGGGTCCTCAGGCACATAACCTTGCTGATTGAGTGTGCCATGTCGAGGCACACAGAGAAGGTTGTATGTGTTGAGGGGTGGCAAAGATAAGAGAGGCATGGCTGACTTGGTAGCCACTTTGAGCTGCTTCATCGACACCTATAGGAGAGGACTAGGTTTTTCTTATCTTCATAGAAGAGAAAAAAGAGTAAGTGGAACTCAATCTACTACAAGATAGCTCTGGGTTAGGTTCAGATGATGCCTCAGGAGACATTTCCATTTTCAAAGATCTTCAGACCCAAGATTAAAGGCTGGGAAGATGAATACTCAGGGGTGATCCCTTCTTTCTCTCTAGACTAGGGGAAGTTAGAACACTTGACAAGAGGATAGGGGAGGCCAGGATGTTTTTACCTCTATTCTCTGGGCTAAACTCTCACTGTCTTCCAAGTGAGAGCCTTCCCACCAGTTCCCTGCTTGCCAAGCACAGACTTTTACTTACCAGGACTTACACAGGCAGAAGGGAGGACAGGCCAGGGCAGGTCTGGGTTCCCCAAGCATACAGTTAAATTCACTTCACTCCTCCCTGGGGGATTGCCATTGTGTCCCTACTCCCAGGCTCTGACTTAGCCTATTAGCAGAACTCCAGGGATATCCATGATGAGAGCATGTCCTTGCAGGACCCCAAGGGTAGAGAGCAGCATCTTGGTTTAGACACGCTAGGGAACAGTGAGGAGGATTGTTTGGGGAAAGTTGGGGGGGCTTTACAGAGGGTAGTTTTTCAGGATTCTCCTTTGACTCTGCATCCATCCTCATCCATCTGATGATTCAACCACTTGTTGACCCTAGTGAACCCCTATATCTCTATTTACAAGTCTCTCCCTTGAACCCCAGACCTGTTTGACTGCTGTTTGAAAATCTCCACCTGAATATTCTATAGAAAACACTAACTTATCAAGTCCTGCACTGAAGTCATGCCTTTATTCCAAAAAGCTGTGCTAAGCTAGAAATGTTATCACTGCTCCCCAGTTTTCTAGAATGAGAGAGAGAGTGACACACACACACACACACGCACACACACTGAAAGAGAGGGAGAATATGAATGAACATCAGTCAGGGTTGGAAAAGACACCCAAGGTTGCTCCCTCTTCATACCCAATCCCTTCTCAAGTCCCGATAAGCCTGGTTTTTCCTCACAATGTGTTCCTCATCTCTGTTCCTGTCACTGTTAACGACCCTATTTTGAGTAACATTACCTGTTTATTTGTTTATTTCTTAGTGTTGCTATAGGGCATGTGTACTTGCTGGGGAGGGAGGAAGGGAGGGAGGGAGAGAGAGAGAGAATCATTACCCCAAGAGGGATGGCCATGTCAAAATCCCTTCTCCATTCTTCTCTTGGGATTTTGGGCACACACCTGGTGTGATTCTCAAGTCACCATTCTGGGTCTCAAATTACGCAGTCAGCCATGTGGGATCCAGCCACCTCAACCATCACAGCACCTGCTGGCCCTCAGGTCTGTCTTCTAGCTGTCTTTTCTCTATCTCACATTCAGTAGAGAGTACAGCCATTGAAATTTATTTTTCTTAGTCTTTGCTAACTTGGTAAATGAAAAGTGGTATCTCCTTGATTACCTGTGTTAGTTAATATTGGCATTGGCCGTCATTAAAAAATTAAATTAAAAATGTCTGTATACTAGCTCCTTTTCTATTTCATGAATAAGCTATTTATTACAACTTATTAAAAAGATCTTAATGTTTACTTGGTTAACTCCTCTCCTTGAATTTCCACTCTCTCCATGATAAGACCCAAACTCTCCAGTGGGGCAGGAAAGACTCTATGCTTGATGACTGCTTGATCTGTCCCCACCGTAATGACTAATACCTACCATGTCATGTTTTGAGAATCTAAAATGCATTAGGCATATTGTCAGGCACTTGTATATAATAGGTTCTTGCAGTGTTCACAACAACCTAAGAGGATAGGTTTTACCTTTCCATCTGGAAACTTAGGAAACTGAGGTAGTTGAGTACATACTGAAGTACAGTGCTTAAAACTTACTGTATGAATCTCATCGTTTCATATCACGGGACTTTTTACAGGGCTCTGTTAGCTGAATCTGAAGTTTTAGCTGGGAGGGGAGGCAAGGGGTGAATATAGAAGGAGACCTAGAAAGGCCAGAGGGGCTACACTGGATAAACCATAAGCTGAGAGCAGTTCTTGAGCCACGTACAAGTTACAAAGCCCAGGGCTCGGCAGCCAAGCCAGCGGTAGATGCAGGAAGGGAAAGGGCCAAAGGTCTGATGCATGGTACTGAGTGCAGGAACTGAGACCAATGTGGCTTCTTGGCTGGGATAAGTGATGCACAGGGAGCTCTACTGTGTCCAAGGGGCAGATGAAGCTCAGGTAGAGTCAAGACGTCACTTCTAGCTGGGTATCTGATCTGAGAATACTGAAGCCTGGGGCAAACTAGGTATGCTCAGAGACCTGCTCAGATCTGGGGTAAGCTCAGATCTGAGTAAACAGCACTTTAGTAGAGCCAGCAGGAGGGAGGCAGGGTGACTGAACCAGACATGCTGATTTCAGAGTGAGTGAGGCTCAGGTTCTGAAGAGGAATGTGGAATACTCAGGGATTTTGGGCTCAGCAGCCATACATAGTGGGGAAGAAAGCCATGGAGAGTCCTAAGTCATGCAGCCAGGGGCATATCGTGAGGCTGTGGAGGGGAGGTGGCTACTTGGCACTCATGGCTTTGGTCAGATACTCTGGATCCTGAATCTGGCTCTAGGACTTCCCAGGAAACCAAGCCCAGCTGGGGTTTTGGATATAGAACATGTTTCATGCCCTGTCACAGGGTGGACCAAAGTCTGCCCAGTCTGCACTCAGCGGGTACAGGGAGGGGCTGACTGCACCAGCCTCCTGGGGCCATCTGCTCACATCAGCCTACTCTAAGAGGCCCGGATCAGCACACCTTTTTTGGGTTTCTCCAAGGGTATTACTCTTTTCTGCCCTCACCAATTTTCTGTTTCCAGTCCAAATAAAGGTACATCTTGATATCTATTGAGAAGGAGCAATTGACATTCACTGAGTTCTGGCTATGGTTTGGAGATCACAGGAGGTTTTTCCCAATACATCAACCTGTGGGCTTTGCGAGCTGCTCACATCCTTCTCCCTACCATTTCTGGGTCCTGACTACTTAGTCCATCCACCAACAAGTCCCCAGTAGGGACAACTGAGAGGCAACTAGATCAGAATCTCAGCTATTTATTCGAATTGCCATTTAGTGATAAGAATCAATCGCTAATTTCTGAGATTTTCATACTCAGTTATGCTTTAAGCATAAACTTAAAGCAAGATGTAAAGAAACAAAAATATGAAGATGTAATCTTATATCTTCATATTTAATGTTAACCCAGTTTAATATAACTTTGATTTTCTCTCAGGTTTAAGTAGAAAAGAATTATTCCCATAAAATTTTCTCCCCTCTGGCTCTTATGTATCAGTAATTTCTTAACCTAGTGGTATACCAGACCAACCTTGTTAGTTAAAAACAAACAAACATCAGTTAGTGTAATGACTATGTCGCTGGACTCCCATGTAGTTGACCGCGGTTCAAGTTCCGGACCCAGTGCCTTAAAACTCACACCGGGCACATGTGCATGCGTGCCCAAGATTTCGAGAGGAGAATGGAGGAGAAGGGATTGCGGTGTGGCCATCTCCCCTGGGGGATGATTTCTCGCTTTCTGTCTCAAAACACTCCAAACAAACAAACTAATGATATATTTATAAGCATTTTAAAAAGCCCTCCATTCAAAGCAATAGTTTCCCAACTGTTTCTAAATACCTATTGAATGAGACTCTGTAGCAACTGTAGTCATATCTCTTTATTCATTTATTTATCGGTGTAATATTTCATTTAATTTGCTGGGGGAGCTTGTGCTCTCTAGAAAGAGACAGAGAGATAGAGAGAGGCAGAGAGCACCTCCCAATGGGGTGTAGTCATGTCATAATCTCTTCATTTCTCTGTCCTGTCAGGATTTGGGGCATGCACACACACATACCTGGTGTGCTTGTCAAACTGCTGGGGTTGGAATTCACGCTGTGCCTGGTCAAGTGAGAGCCAGCTCCCTTAACCACCAGGCCGTGGGGCTGGCCCAGCAGTCATCAGTCTTTATGAGAGTCTCATGCACCCCTCTAACTCCAGTCCTGAGACTAATCCTTGGGGACTATGGAGCCAGGTGTTCCCGAACTCCTCCTTTTGCTAGATGCAGGTGGTCTTACTCTGGTCTTCAGCAGGCTTAGAAGATGTGATGAGGGACTCCATCCCATCTCTTCTCATTTGTCTATGGTGTAGGCCAACAATCCAGCCATCCTTTACCAGGGCTTCTTGTTCACAGAGGCAAACAAGTTATTGTGTGCTTGTTCTTCAATCCCAACTAATATTTTGTGAGTAGTTATTATGAGACAGGTCTTCAAAACATCCACGGGAAATGCATAGTACAGAAAAACTATGCATGGATTTCAAATTATTTTTACACCACAATGAACCAATACTTTAATTCCATTTTTCCTCGAAGAATTTTCCATTCTTCATATATAGGTGTCACCCAGTGATACGGTCACCCAGCATGTGCTCCACTTCTACCTCCACCCAGTTAAGTACACTGAGAAACTTTACATAAGATAAAAGCAATAAAATCACAGTTATTTACTTAATAATTCAGGCAGTTTTGTTGCAGGTTTTACAGCTCAACTACTGCCAAATATTTTCCTCGTATTTGGAAAGGCTGATGTGTTCCTCTCTAACAACTTAAAAAATGCATTTGATTTTTTTTTTTTTTTGGAGAGGTTTTTGCTATAGGGCGCGTGCACTCGCCAGACAGACAGAGAGAGACATAGAGACAGAAAGTGAGAAATCACCCCCCGGGGGGATGGTCACGCCACAATCCCTTCTCCTCCATTCTCCTCTCGGGCTCTTGGGCACGCACGCACACGCGCCCGGCGTGAGTTTTAAGCCACCGGGTCCGAGACACGAACCGTGGTCGACTACGTGGGAGTCCAGTGACATAGCCATTATGCTAACTGCTAGTTCCCATAAACGCATTTGAACAATTTAGAAATGATTGGCTTTTTTCTCCTTTTTAAATAATTAAAAATGTTTTAGAAAATTTGTCACATCTTTACTATGCTTTTCCCTTCTGTGTGATTATTTTTAGGAGCTGTTTAAGAAAGAGAGACTTGTGAAAACACTGACATTCTAATTACTTTGGTATTTCTTGCTGTATAATTGTGTTATGTAATAAGTAGGCACATTGTGGGACATTGGTTGGAAGAACTGGTTGAGACCCTTGTGTGAGGGTTGAGAACCTCTCCCTGTTTCAGAGAAATTATGAAAGAGATGGACCAAGCTCAATATGTAATTCTGGCCTGGATCCTTTTGTTACAAGGAACATCATTGAAAGAAGTAGAGAGTCTGGAATGGGGCATGAGATCAGATGACATCATGGCTCCATGTCGGCTTCCTGATCCTGAAGGTTGAGGGTGAATGTCTTTGTTTATAGAGATGCTCAGCTGAGTATTCAGGAGAAATGTGGCAGTGTATCGGCGATTGATGCAACTAGTACTGTATTTGTAACGAATATGTAAATTTGCAATCGTTTTGAAAATCTTAAGTAATAACGATATACAGTGACTCTTAGATATCTCGAGGAAAAGAAATGGAGAATGAGAAAAATTATGATAGTGAATATGATGTGTACTAGCAGGTTCTTACATCTCCATTCACTGTCTTCCTCTCACATCTGGGAAAATCAAATGGGAATGAGTCCATGGACAGGGGCTTAGCACATACCTGTTCTCTGAAACAACCTCACTAGGTGCTGCCTGATTTCCTTGGTTCTGGCCCCGTAGATGATGGGGTTGACCAGACACGGGAGCAGCAGGTAAAAAGCACTGAGCAGGTTGTGCACATCTTGGGAAGCAGAACGGGCCACTCGGTAGACGATGGATGAGGTCATAGTGAAAAAGTAGACAGTGAAGATGACCAGCAGGTGGGAGCCACAGGTGTTCAGGGCCTTGGACCGGGCCCCCACTGATGAGATCCTGAAGGCAGCATGGAGGATGCGGGAATAGGAGGCTCCTAGCAGAAGCATGTCTAGGACTCTGTTGAAGATGCGCACGGTGAGTCCCACAGTCTTGTTCAGGGAAATGTCTCCACAGGAGAGCTTCATCAGGGCCATGTGTTCACAGGTAAAGTGGTGGATGACATCTGAGCGGCAGAAGCGAACCCGGGAGGCCAGAAACACCACTGGGGTCACACTGCAAATGCTCCAGGCAGCTGCCACCACCACCAGGCCAGCCAGCAACTGGCCTGTCACTATCTCTGAGTAGCGCAGTGGGTAGCAGATGGCAACATAGCGGTCCAGGGCCATGACTAAGAGGATGTTGCAGTCAAAGATAACAAGGAAGTAGATGCAGAACATCTGGACCAGGCAGCGAGCCAGGGAGATGCGGTTGAAGTGTGTGGAGAAGCTGAAGAACATGGCGGGCAGCACTGTGGTGGCGACACAGATGTTGACAGTCAGGAGCAGGGCGATGAGCAGGTACATGGGCTGGTGAAGGCTCTGCTGGGCCGCCACCGTGTGGATGACCAGGGCATTGGCAGAGAGGATCACCAGGTAGAGGCTGAGAAAGGGCAGCACCAGGAGGGTGCGGGACTCCTGCAGCCCCGGGAAGCCCACCAGGAGGAAGCTGGTGTAGGACACATTGGAGTTTCCGTTGCTCCACTCTGACATCTTCCCTTGGGAGTGTAGGCTGTCTCTAGGGAGAGAAGATGGGCAGGCGATCTGAGTCCTGTCCCTAGCCCTCTTCAGCCCCAGCCTCATCAGGCTGGACTTAGTGGTGCAACCTTCATGAGCCTCTTATGTTCCTAGAGAGAGAATGAAAGGTCATTTCCCCCCATTTAATCGTATGTTTCAAGAAATCACATCATTCTATAGCTGCATTTGGTTCATTTTGTTTCTTTGTTTCTGTAAGTTACAGATTTCTTTATTCTTCCTTTTACATCTTTACTGACTACCTACTTTGTGCTAGGCCATATGCTAGGTACATGGAGTACAGCATCGAATGAGTGAGTCCACGTCTTACTGAGCAGTCAAGTAACGACAGGCAGTGGTCTGAACACCACATGTTACAGTATGCTCAAGAAACATATCCCCAAATACTATCTATCTTTAACACCCACCAGGCCCAGGATGGACTGGTGCCTGGTCCGTTGAGACTATTTCCGCTCTTGCTATATTCTCCATTCTTCTGATCTGGGGAGATGGAAAGTCATGAGTTACAAGCCAGGGAGAGGAAAAGAAGCACAAAGAGAAGATGTAGGTGAAATACTGAAGGGCAACCATTTCCCACCCTGGCATCCAGTCTGAGGAAGGCACAAGTGTTGTTTTCCTCTTTTAATTTCAAAGTTTAGAGCTCTTATTATGTGGTTGCATTGAATATTTGAATACTGAAATGAGATTATTATTATTATTGTCAGAGGGCATATGCACTTGCCAGGGAGAGAGAGAGAGAGAGAGAGAGAGAGAGAGAGAGAAGAGAGAGAGAGAGAGAAAGCACCCCCTTTGGGGCATGCTCATGCCAAAATTCCTTCTCCATTTTTTCTATCCTGCTGGAATTTGGGGTGCACACAAGTGCCTAGCATGTTTTTTGAACTGCTGTGCTTTGGGATTCAAAGTCAGCTTGGCTATGTGGAATCTGGCTCCCTTAACCACTAGGCTACAAGGCTGGCCCTATGAGGTTATATAAACTAAAAGTAATCAAAGGACTGTTTAATATTATCGAAGAATTAACAAAATCTTAATAGAACCTTCCTGAGATTTTGTCCAAAAAGTACTGCTGATCAGTTCTGAATTGAGAACAGGCAGGTAAACAAGTGTGGCTCTTCCCAGGTAATGGTGTCAGTAGAAGGAGGAGCTGTGGAACAGTTGTGCACAAGATTCAGAAGCACCGTGGGTGAAGATCTGTTTCTGCCGCATATAGGTTGGGAGACAAGTGAGAGAAAGATTTATTGAGGAAAGCTAACCTCCGTAAATTATTTGCTGAGTTCAAGATTGTCAGGTGCTTCCAGTTTTAGCAAGTTCATTAAAATGGAACTGAAATGTAGATATTTAGAGATCACCATTTATCTTTTTTCACTGTTCACACAAGCCTATTTTAGGTGTTTGACAGGGGTCACCTGTAAACTTTACTGTCGGTAACCGACGTTAGCTTCTTTCCTCCCATTTTGCCAAACTTTAGATTTTCCCAAAAGTTTCTTAGGAATGTTCTGGAGGAAAATTTGCAAAACATCTTCAGATCGTTTCAGTACGTGTAAGGAGTTGGAGGAAAAGATCTGAATTTCACTAGCTCTGAACGGTACATTTTGGCAGTCTCCTACCATGACGGGCTTTAGTTCTTTCAGGTATGCTTTTTCTGCCTTTTCTGGTTTCAAGCTATTTTCTCATGGTATGGAGATGGAGATGAAATGAAGATGAGAAATTTCTTTCTTTTTTTTTTTTTTGGAGAGGTTTTTGCTATAGGGCGCATGCGCTTACCAGACAGACAGATAGAGACAGAGAGATAGAAAGTGAGAAATCCCCCCCTAGTGGGGATGGCCACGCCACAATCCCTTCTCCTCCATTCTTTTCTCGGGATCTTGGGCACGCACGCACACGCGCCCAGCGTGAGTTTAAGCCACTGGGTCCAGGCCTCGAACCACGGTCGATTATGTGGGAGTCCAGCGACATAGCCATTACGCTAACTACTGGTCCCAAGATGAGCAACTTTATTTTTTTCCTTAGTATTGCTTATCTGCCAAGATCCATAGAGCCCGTTGTTTTTTTGCCCTTTCCCTCCAATCTAAGCTGCCTGAAACCCCCACTCTGGCCCATGCCAACTGCAAGTTGTGCCTCTTCTATGGCTGGCTCTCCCCCAGACCTTCTGAAGCTCTCCTGGACTGCAAGAGAGGAGGCTATGAAGCTGGGGGCCTGCATCCAACGCTTGCTGAGGCGGATGCCCTTGCCCAGGCTAGGGCTCTCA